CTGTCTCTCCCTCTGCCTCTCTGTCTCTCCCTCTGCCTCTCTGTCTCTCCCTCTGTTTCTCTGTCTCTCCCTCTGCCTCTCTGTCTCTCCCTCTGTTTCTCTGTCTCTCCCTCTCCCTTTCTGTCTCTCCCTCTCCATCTCTGTCTCTCCCTCTCCTGTCTCATCCTCTGCCTCTCTCCCTCTGCTTCTCTGTCTCTTCCTCTCTGTCTCTCCCTTTCCATCTCTGTCTCTTCCTCTGTCTCTCCCTTTCCATCTCTGTCTTGCCCTCTCCATCTCTGTCTCTTCCCCTGCCCCTCTGTCTCTCCCTCTGCCTCTCTGTCTCTCCCTCTCCATCTCTGTCTCTCCCTCTACATCTGTCTCTCCCTCTCCATCTCTGCCTCTCCGTCTTCCCTTACCCTTTTTCTGTGTCTCGCACTCTCTTTTCTGCCTCTCCCTGCCTTTCTCTCTGTCCCTGTTCTCTCCCCGCGTCTCTCCCTGTGTCTCTCCAGCTCTCCCCCCTCCCTGCCCGCCCCGGCCCGGTTTGCTGCAGTCTCCTGGCGCACGGATAACCTTGCTGCCGCCGCTCCTCCAGCTCTTCCCCACCCCCCCATCCCCGGCCCGGGCCAGGGCCAGAAGGGGGCAGGGGCAGCGAGCCTCGGGTTTTGGGGCGGGGGTGATGAGGCGGGATCTGGGGATCTGGGGCCAAGGGAGGGGGGAGTCTAGGGGCGTGGGTTCTTGCAGGAGCGAGGATGTGAGGTCCCAGGAGGAGGAGGGGGAGTTATGCGGGACCCTGGAAAGGGTGGGGGCATGGGCGTGTGCGAGGTCCTCGCTGTGGGGAAGGCAGGCCCGGGAGGGAGCCAGGCCTCCGAAAGGCCAAGGCTGGGAGGCTGGACTGAGCGCCCTGTGCCCGTCCCCCAGGTGTGCGCTCCGGCGGCCCTCGGTCCCGGAGCGCTCTGGGCAGCGGCCTGGAGCGTCCTGCTGCTCACAGCCCCCGCGGGGGCGCAGCGTGGCCGGAAGAAGGTCGTGCACGTGCTGGGTGAGTCCGGGCCGCTAAAAGTGGTCTTCTCCGCGAAAAGCAGAAGAGGCCAAGTGCGGAGAGGTGTAGGGGGTAGGGCGTTCCTGACGTCCACGGTTCCCCCAACCACTCCCCATCTAAGCCCCTCGCCCTCTCCCTGAGCCCCTGGACCCTTCTGATTCCCCGACCCCCGCCCGAGTCTTCCCACCTTCCCCTCCCCAGAGACCCCTTCCCCAGGGCCCCCCTTCTGCCCCTAGGCCCCTTCTCTGAACCCTGCTTGGTTGTCCGCAGAGGGTGAGTCGGGCTCGGTAGTGGTACAGACAGCGCCTGGGCAGGTGGTAAGCCACCGGGGTGGCACCATCGTCTTGCCCTGCCGGTACCACTATGAGGCAGCCGCCCACGGTCACGACGGCGTCCGGCTCAAGTGGACAAAGGTAGTGGACCCGCTGGCCTTCACCGACGTCTTCGTGGCACTAGGCCCCCAGCACCGGGCATTTGGCAGCTACCGTGGGCGGGCTGAGCTGCAGGGCGACGGGCCTGGGGATGCCTCCCTGGTCCTCCGCAATGTCACGCTGCAAGACTACGGGCGCTATGAGTGCGAAGTCACCAATGAGTTGGAAGACGACGCTGGCATGGTCAAGCTGGACCTGGAAGGTGATCAGCCAGTGGGGAGGATAAACCTTGCTTCTGAGGAAGGAGGGGGACAGGGATGGCAAGGGACATAAATCAAATCAAGTTGGCCTGCAGGCATTTAGAGGGTTGGTGGGGTAGAGCCCCCATATCTAATTCTGGGTGATTTTCCTCCCCATGGACATTGGCGATGTCTGGAGATAGGTTAGGTTGCCACATCTGAAGAAGTCAGTTGCTACTGGCCTCTAGTGGGTAGAGGCCAGGGATGCAGTTAAACATCCTACCAGGCACAGGATAGTCCCCCACAAAGAGTGATCCAGGCTGGGCATGGTGACTCACGACTGTAATCCCAGCACTTTGGGAGGTTGAGGCAGGCGGATCACCTGAGGTCAGGAGTTCAAGACCAGCCTGACCAACATGCTGAAACCCCATCTCTAGTAAAAAGACAAAAATTAGCCAGGCATGATGGTGCATGCCTGTAATTCCAGCTACTTGGGAGGCTGAGGCAGGAAAATCTCTTGAACCCCGGAGGCAGAGTTTGCAGTGAGCTGAGATCCTGCCGCTGCACTCTAGCCTGGGCGACAGAGCCAGACTCCATCTCAAAAAAAAAAAAAAAGTGATCCAGTCCAAAATGTCCACAATGAGGACACTGAGAAGTCCTGGGATAGGATTCAGGCACAGTGAGATCCAGGCACTCACACCATATCAGGAACCATCCTTCTGCTCTGCTTCCCAGGTAGGCTTTCTTCCGACAGGTTTCTCTTTCTGGAACCAGACCACAGTGCCTAGGCTTAGCGACTGATTTCCTAAGAGCAGCAGCTAGAGTCCCAGAGTTGTCCCTCACTGGCTCAGCTTGAGTCATGTGCCCAACTGTGAGCCAATCACTGTAGCTGGAAGGTGGGATGCTCTGATTGGCTGACCCTGGAGCTGGGAGGTGGGGTTTCTATTTGAAGAATTCCCTCCCATTTGGTTGGCCTTTTTCAGTTCACTTTAGAAGATTCTAGGTGAGATTTCAGGGCCCTTGCTTGCTGACCTCCCTAACAATAGCAAATAACAATAAGAGCAGCAGCTCTCCTTTACTGGACATTTTCTATGTGACAGGTGCTTAGTTGAAGAGTTCTCAGGAGTCTCTAATTTAATTTCCTAAAAACCCCAAGGGAGACGGCTATTACCAGCAGACCGACAACAGGCTCAGAGAGGTTACAGCCTTGCCCAGGACAGTACTAGTTGGTGGCAGAGCCAGGATTCAATCCCCAGTCTGTCAGCTCCAGGTCTTCTCCCTGGCCCCTGTCTGCCTCTTTCCTGGGTGCCCCACTCACCCCCAACTCCCATCCCTCAAACACAGACGCATAAAATACTTGAGCTGAACGGACTGTGAGTCCAATGAGGGACAAGTTCCAAAGTCATCAGAACTGAAGGTAGAAGGGAACCCAGTGGGTCCTGCCTTGGACAATGCTGGGGGA